TGTACTATCTCCAAATACATTCTTAATTTCTTGAATAATGCTGTTTTCAACATCTGGATTAGCTCCAACAAAATAAATAATAAATGCCAGAGTATTTGAAGGCTTTAAGAGAATTAATTGGTACCGGTTTTATTAGCAATTAAATAAAAATACGATGTATTAATACTTACGCTATCAAGTCCTTCACTAAACATTTCTACTATGTTATCTCCGATTTCTTCGTCAGTCAAGGATATTGCGTTTGAAATATCTTTTGATGTCAATAAATTGTTCAACACATTCGATGTCAACTTCTCGTCAATGCCGAAATCTTTAATGTCTTTTTTGCGCTGTTTGACCAAGTTGCATGCATACTCTCTGGTCCATATCAGATTATTATGTAGATATTCTGTATATCTACGTACAATTGGAATGTTACGTATCAATGGTGGAACAGTTATGTAATATTGCACGCAATCAGACGCAAGAGAGAAGCGATCCAAGAAATCTTCATCCGCACTTTTTTGAATATTTTTACCAATAATTCGATCGTAATAGTTTGACAGTAAATTAGATTGCTGGCCGGCCACTAGCAACATGATAATTTCTGCAAAAACTCTTTTTGTCCAACATACGAGATCGACTTCAACCGAATGCTCCCGCTCGTTATTCAAACATTGACCTCGTTCTTTAATCAAATTGTCCCATGACTTTTCTAAATTACCAAAAATTGTATTAACTAAAGTTGCAGCGTCTTTTAACGCATTGGCCGATCCCACAACTTTGAACAAGACTTTTCGAACGTATGACCAAGAGTGGAAATTTGAATTATATAAAATTGCAACGTTGCCCTTTTGTAAATCATCTAACCCGGTTTTGGTTGCCACGCGAATAAAGTAGTTGTTGTTTTTTTTTGATGTCATTATTCGTTCGATTATTCGCGCATCACTAACCATCAAATATTTATTGGTTCCAAAATATAATTCAAATATGTTTCCATATTTCAAACTTAAGTGGTGGAGCCAATGTGAAATATTGTGTTTATGGTAATAATACTGATGAAGATTACCTATTATGGGTAATGGAAGTGGTCCCGGATACGAAACAGAACGAGTGAAGTAGCCATAATAAAATCTTAAGACATATAATAAAAGGATAAAATTTGTGAAAATTAAAACTTCCGAAATTACCGCAAAAAACTCTTTGGACAACGGCATTTCTGATGTTTGAAACGGATAAAACGCATTTTATAATAGATCGAGTTACACGATAGCGGTGCGGTATATTATATAATTTTGTAACACATGAAGATTTACAACATATATGTATGCATTAACGGAATATACAGTAACGGTCATAGGTATCCGACCGGTCTTAATTCTACACACGAATGAGAAAAATTTGTCTAACAAGCTTAATCATTTATAAATTTTCAGCTCAATCGGATCTCCACCAAACATCAAATGTTTTGTCTCTATACCTGTTGTGTCTGAGTTTGGGATCTGTCCCAGTTCGGAACTAATCGCTCAGTCCAGACTAAAACAAGTTTTCAGTTGAGATACAACATACCAGTTGGGGAATGGTGAGAAAAGAAAAGAAAGGTTGATTAGTTTGAGTACCATACACAATTTTTGCTGTAAATTTAAAATGCATATCTCGACACTTTTCAACCAAACCTTACGAATCGAAAGACATTATGCGCATTAATTACAATTATAATAACAATTTTTTTTTTTCAATTCGGACTCTATATTCGAGGAACGCATAGACCCAAATTTGACAAGCAAAAAAAAAAATCTTGCAAATCAATTAAAAACATATGGAGACGTGGATTTTAAGTGTATGCTCCAAATAAACAACACGCAAATTTTTTTAATATTCTTAATGTTTAACATAGATGTTTACTGAAAACATCCAATCGAGCCGAAAATTTCCAGAACATCAGGCTTTATCAAACGCTCCACGCAGAGAATTTTTCAACTGGTTTTCACATTTGTGTCCTACTGTATCACAACCCCTTAATAAGAAAACAGTCAAAGTTTTTTATTGTATGATCAAGAATATCCATCTTTTGGCTACAGAATTCACATCTATAATACGCCAATCCAAACAAATTAAAGAACCCGTTGACAATTACAAGTTAGGTAAAATTAATTGTTATTTCTAAATTATTTAGGTTGAAGTCACCGGTCTACGAGCTAAATCCGTATTATTATTACCAGAAGGATTTACTTTGCATTGTAATACAAATACACAGATCGCATCGGACATGTGAAACGTATAATGTTAATATATTTCATCTATGCCAAGCTCATGTGTCAATATGGAAAGGGGCTGTATTCACGGAGTATCACGCCCAACTCTTCAATGGCATCACTCAGATATGTCCGAAACTAATTTATTTTACCAAGCATATATACATATGTGGTAATTTGTGTAGTTTATACATTCTCTTCAACGTGCGTGCCGTTACTAACCACAATGCCTGTAATAAACAAAGGGGTTATTGCTTTGTGAAAAGTCACAATATTTTGTTCTGTGAGAAATACGCATGGAAAGGTTTAAAATAAAAGCACAGTAAATGTTAAGGACTTTGATTATGAGTGAATCTCTATTTGTGTTTAACGCGCGTCATTCAAGTGCGACTATCAGATCAATCCCCTCATTCAAGGAAGCATTATTAAATATGCTTTCTAAACTTTTGATAATATAATACATCCAACAAAGCATTCATTGCATTGCTCTTTGTATTAATAACTAGTACGGAATGCTTTCAAAATTTTAGGTGTTAGCGAATAGTACTACTGCTTACACTTGCAGATAAAAGTAAATGAAATTACTTTAAAGAAATATCTTCAGCTAGTCGAGAAAAGAATGTTACAAGAATATTAGAAGATTACGTAATGTGCAAGGTAATATGTAACAATCTAAGTGACGTAATTGTATGCATTACTATTGGCAGGTGCGTTTCAAAAAATAGCTCCCTATCCATAAGGAGAATAAAATAACTGAACATTATGGTACTTGAATGCCTTCTTCACTCACCAGATAATAAATCGTTCGTCAGAAATAGAATGATCTTTCTTTTAGGTTAGTAAATCGTGATTGAGCGGGAGGAGAAAGTTTCCATTGAAATTTACACGCAATTTATCGGCAAGCAAATAACAATAAAAATTTTGTTTACGAGATTAAATTTTCGGATAATTGTGACAGAATTCAAACCAAAGATTGCAGTAGATACATTTCTTATCAATCTAATGGAATGTTATTACAAAAAAAAATGTGTTTATATCTCATACAAAGACTACTGTTCGCCTGTATTAAATTAATGTTCTGTGGCAGCGCAGTTGTAAACATCACTCAAAGATTTTATAAAGTCCAATTCTAAGGAAAACTATAATGATTCAAATTTTATAATATGCAGGCTAGCAAACACAACAATAAACAGATTCTTTCCTTACTTTACTATTTGAGGACCGCAAAAGACTTGACTGCGAGATATTTGTTATCAAACTTAACTAATTGTAGATGCTTAGAGAAAAAGATAGGTTTATGAAATTTTTGACTTTGAATTTTCTTCTCCGGAATGTAACAAAGTCGGGAGTTTACTCATACTCATGCTAATGACTGTGCTGCGAACATCTGTCCACAATTTCGACATTTTTGTGTTGGAAAGCCTATCGGTTGGTTTCTGGAATTAACACTAGCTCGTGAAGAGTGCTGGAAAAGGTCATTTGTGTGAACGTTCAGTATGTCGGCCCGTGTACATTAAAAATTTATTTAAACTATGCAGCAATATTATTTGTAATTGTACAGACTCTTTCTTTCCATTACTTCTTTAGTGGGGTGGGACTTTGCCATTGACATCTTATTAATGGTATATATAAATAGAATCACAGCTCTACATACTTTATTTTAAACTCTTAGTAATAAAATTCCCACTTTAATTGACACAAGATTTTTGAATGACAATTGCGTTGATGAAAATTAATATAATGAATTAATTGCGCCAACAAATTCATTAATTAAACTTCTGACAACGTGCTTTAATATAATTGTATCGTGAATTAATTGTATTTGGATTCATCTACCTCTCTCAGCCGACACATCATCAAGCTTGACATTTGGGCGACAGGGGAAGATGCTGATATGAGAATATGGTCTACTTAATAATTGTTATGTGAACTGTTTGTATCACATGATTTCACGATTGTTAGTAGAAAATCTATTCAATGTCGGAGTCTACTCTGCGATAATTTACCAATAGGTATAATGTCTTCTCCTGAAGTTTATGCATGTGGCGTTTTTGAAGCATATCCGATACAACTGTTACGAGCGCAAAATCATGTGCAATGCAGGAACTTTTCTCTTATCTATTGCGCCTTCATATCATATGTGTTACTCTTGTATTACTATTAGGTTGTTTATTTATATCGAAATGAATCGGCAGTGATTATATTAAGAGTAAGCCCTAGCCTGTTATAGACAGCCTAACTCGTCTTTCAATTGTTACCTCATCTGCATACTAACTACCAATGAAGCACCATAGGTACAAACAAGCGACACCCATTTATGGTGCTTTAATTAGAAATACAAAGTATTAAATTGCAACTTTACACTAGTACAATATATATGTATGCAATATAGACATATATGTATTATTGTAACCTATTTATCAGTGACATCGAAGGGCTTTTGTATTTTTTTTTATGTGGTCACAGGTTCGAATATGTAACTTGTAACACAAGTAACACAGTTCCATCAGATACATCAAATAGCAACGTAATAAATATGCAATGTTTTAGTAGTGTTAATACATACAACCTACATGCCCGAACAAATTGTTTCATTCGTTCATACCCATTACGATATTCCTTTATCATCGAAAAACGTAAATTTTAATATGTACTCCGTAGCACAGAGGCTGTAATAATATCAGGTACGGTTGCCTTCACCCGTTAGCACCTTTCGCTACTTTCTCTCTCTGACTCCGGATGCTATCAATCTTTGACATCTGCGCTATAGCTGATAAAAGAGTAGAGACAATTCTTTTGACAATAAGTTGACATTGACTTATTAATTAGCCCATTGGCAATCTATTATAACATTATCAACTGCCTTTTCAAACATTATAAAGCACTCACACTCATTATCACACTTTGCATTCCTTTTAAAATAACCAACTTATATATAGAAATTGCCGCTTCTACATCTAAACTTAACTTTAATTTGCTCTTCTCACGAATAACTCCTGGGCTGCTAACACTGCTATAATCATTATACTCACATACATACATACATTACATTACATAACATAACATAACAACACACACACACCCCACCACCACCTCTCTCTGTCTCTGTTATCCCAAGATGTCTTTAATCAAGAAACTGAAGAACCAATACGAGGTTTGGAAAATCACCAAATATACTCGACGGAGATCAGCCATGACTCCAGATTTTGAGCAGAAAGATTCCGGATTCTATGAAAAGAATTACGTAAATGGCGTATATTTGCACACTGCTGCTCCAGGTTGCAATAACAACAGACATAGCGTAAGCTATACGAACAAAAACAAGAACCACAAAATTATTCGGTGCAGTGAGACATACAACATGAGGAACTAATGTTCGAGAACTACACAGGTACATACATTCATTGTTAGCCAACCAAGCTTTCGATATAACCATCGTAAAAGGATCTCGCAATTTGTATCTATGTACTGATAATCTTTTCTCTTGTCAATGCAGACATTTTTTTTTCTCTCTTTCCGCTTTACGCGGCTAATGGAAATCACTCTGATGACTCTGGTTCACTCTTCATTTAATTAAGTAGGATAAATAGACCATATAACTTGAACGTTGCTCGCATATTAGTTCTCGTAACTATTTCCCTGCTCGGTTGCTTATTCTTATTATAGTCACTATTGATCATTAATCATATTTGCTCACTTCGTATCATCTCTTAATTAGAAGCATAAACTGTATCAAATAAGTTTCGGTTTTAGGTAGGATTCTCGTGTTATTTTCGTCAATGTCAAAGTGACACTACGAATGTAAATAAAACTAAAAGTGCAAGTGGCGGGAGTAAGAATTGGTGCTATAATTGATCGAGTATGTGGGAGGAGGAGATTTTTCTCACAGACGTAAGTGTGGCCGTCTTGCTTGATTGCTTTGCTTGCTAATATAGCATTATTACACTATTGTATGACTCGGATATCTCGTTCAACAGATGCACGGATCAGTGTGAAATGCCGGATTTACCATGTATTATACACAGTGGTGGTCAATACGACCGATTCCACGATCCAGGCACAATCCGGCTTATAGCGATAGACTCCGCTTATTGTAAACTTTGTTTCTGTTCCTTAATTCTTTCAGTGATGTACCCCTTGTCCCTTACTTATTATTGTTTCAGATTTATCTTTGATATTGAGATCAAATAGGGTAGTATCTAAATATCACACGGCAAATGGCATAAACTCCGATTATATTTCGAAACTGTAAATATGTACAAATAAATAGTGCAATATCACATGCAGTAATACCGTTATAGAACATGTTTATAGAACAATGGACTGGTGTCTAATCAGCCAGTCTTTAATCTTTACCATAAAAACCCACGTTACAATTAAGAGAGTTGTTGTAATTAAAGCGTGGGACTTTTGTCTGAATACAGTGTGTTGCATGCATCTCATCTAATTCCGTATGTATGCTATTGTTGATCCACTATAAATAGTTAAAGACTTGTTATTGTTGACAACATGCCTTTCATTTCAGTGTGCACCAAACTATTACAGCATATCTCTGAGATTGGTCAAAAGCTTTATTCATACATCCAAGTCTAGATCATGATATAGTGATTTTCTGTATATCAAATAAATGTTACAGCAGGGAATACATAACAACATCTTTACATCATCATTTGTCTATTCACTAGCTTTAGAATAGGGAAGCGATACGTTTACCAATACTCATTGTCTTTTCGATTCGGATAACAAAGATGATTATTTCATTATCAAGCCAGACGCGTGTTAATGTTTGATCCCGCAATTTGCCGGCCGGCGGCAGAATGTCCATATGCCCCGCTCTTATGTCTCGTTCATGTTCCCTGAACGCAAACTTGTTACCGCAAACTAGTTATAATAGCAGCTCCGGCACCAGGAAGAGTCTCGAAAATAACTTCTGACAATCGCTCTTTAGGTAAATCGGGAAATCTAACGTTGTAATATTTTTCAGTCACTTTGGATATAAATTCTTCCGACTCATTCCCGGGAATAACGGATACTACGCAGCCTATAATTGAACAAGAGACATTCAGCGATACGTCTGATATCAAGATCCCCCAACCTATTGCATACCCCATATTGTATCACACGTTATTACCTCCCCATCCAGCTCCAGTCAACCGGCTCCCTTTCGCCCCACACTCTAAACATACTCTTACGAGCTCATCCACTTCGACGCACGAGCAGTCGTACAAGTCACGACAACTGTCATGACTACTATTCATCAATTGCCCGAGTTCAGAATACACTTGATCAGCTTTGATGTGACCTGCCATACTTTCATCGTTGTGCGTCTGACATAGAGAATAAAACTCTAATACTCTCGCCGCTTCCTCAAACACGTGTTTGGCCCTTTTATATAGATGAAAATTTTCGGTTCTAACAGGGAATTTAGTCAAAAACCTCTCGGTCACTTGTTTGGTGGTTAAGGACAACAACTCGGTCAATTCAACGATACCGTAACCGCGTTCCTTGTTCCCAATTTTTTCTTCAACAACCCCCGCCAATTTCCTCAAACTCTTACTGTCGATTTCCTTTCCATTCACATATTGACTGGCAACGTCCCAAAGCGTGTCGCAGTCCTTTTGCATTATCACTGTCCCGAGATAGTAGGCTGCCAATTTAGTCTCGACCACTCGTAAATTGTAGTTAGTCTGTGCTGTTGCCGCCTTGTTAGATGTGACTAAGGAATTAGAGACTACAAAAGTCAACGGGGGTGAGAGTGATGGCAACTTGATCAGCGTTGGGCGGAGAGTAGGTCGAAATGAAATGTATAAAGCTTGATTCGTTGCTGCAAAGATTGAAGTAGTTTGATCCATCCTATAAAATAAAATTCGAGACATGTCGAGATCAATATAAAGCAAGTCTCTTCCAAATGAGTAGCAGCTATCTCTATACCTACCCACCACCATTGACTCCAATATATCTTTCACACTCGATCGCAATTTTTGCCATAGTAGTCTTGTCTGTCTCTATATTGTTCGCGTATGATACGGCTATAGCAGCACAACAAACGAATGCAGACGAACTGGATAGGCCTGCTCCAGGTGGCACATTCCCGTCGACCAAACAATGTAAGCCTTTCGGACGAGATAACTTAAAGTGTTGTATTATACCCTTTATAATGTCATGTTACGATAGGAGACGTTGGTAAATTATCGAATACTCATTCTAATAATTGCATTATATTAGTAATATCCATCTCTCATACCTTGTATCCACATTTAAAATAATTGCTCCACTCGACGGATCCTTCATCATTCGTAATCGTTACAATCTGTTCATCTCCTTCATATTGCCATTCTCTGGATTTGTACTTTGAATCATCAACGTTCTTTATTCTCACAGTGGATGAGTCGTCGTCTACTGAAACGGCGATCAATATATCCCCACTAATAGCCATTGGCAATACACCAAACCCAACGTAATCGATGTGCTCCCCGATCAAATTCACTCTCCCTGGTGCACGGGCAATGAACTTGGGTTCTCTGTTGTATGTCAATCGAAACCGTTCAACTAGCTCATGATATCGAGTATACTGAGATTGTCTATTATGCTCGGGATATGCACGTATAAATTCCGAGAGTGGCAGAGCAGCAGCCATTAGAAATAACCAGTAACTAATGGGTGATGTTAATTTAATTGGTCAGGTCACCGATCGCGCGCAAATCACAGTCATTATGTGATACCATGACGTATGAAACTTTTGAGGCCAGGATAAAAGTGGCGGGAAAGAAATCTCTACCGTTACGTAGATAGCGTAGTCCGATTAATATTGTATCTGAATGTTAGAAGCATATATTAATATCACCAACAGATACCGATTCTCAGTATTGCATAATCATTTAATTTATCAGAAAAAACTGTTCGAGATTGAATGAGAACGTTTCATTGCATTTTCAAAACACTGTTCGAGATTGAATGAAAAACCAAGTCAGTTTTTCGCTTACGTCAAATGCTCTTTCCATGTCAATATGACCAATGCGATGCTCTCTTATCCGTCTTATTCTGATCCATTCCCTAGATGACCAGTTCTGACAAAGCAAACTCTGTTGTTCGTTCCAGATCGCATTGCAAGAAATATCATTGGAACGCGTCAGTGACCTAAAACGTTAACTCAGTAAAATTGTGAACCTTCGATTGTTGGCCAGTCGGTATGTAGCACATCCATGTTAATGTCACACGAGACATTCTATTAATAGCGGATATGATATTGGGCGTTCTGAGAGGTCATTTTCTCACATAGTAGAGACGAAAAGCTTTCTTTTCCAATAACTTTGTCATTATTATTAACAACCTCTTAGAACAAGCATATAATAATAATGGCATTTGTTATATTTCGAAATAAGCACCGGGACAAAATCGAAAAAAATTGAGGCACATCGATAATAATAAAAGAGTTGTTGCACAGTCGAAAAGCATGTCATACCCTTTACATCGTACACCCGTTGAGGCGGGAGACGGAAGCAATAAACAAAACAACAATGGTTATTATGTTCGCTGATCAATTGGGGACCTGTTATAAAAGTCTTTGGATAGATGCTATGCTCGCTTTACTGGCTGTTGCTTTGGTTTCCTATTAATAATAAAAAAGGATATATTTATAGTTGCAAACACTGACTTAAAGTTGAGGGGAAATTTCCGGGTTTTGTGCAAGGATTCTAATAATAAGAAAGTGGCCGGTCGTAACTGGTTTATGCTTTATTTGGCTTTCTATACTGTTTAAAATTCCCTTCTGTCCCTCCCCCAACCAACTTCAGTCACAATCTTTAAATTTCGTACTAATACTTTTTACGCTTGACAAAGACAATCTCTTGTAATAATACCTTATTGTACCTATAAACTTTAACTCACATTAGTTTACATGCTCCTTTTTCATACATCATGACACTCCGAATATCCGAAAAAGGCTCTCCAATCTCTTTATCACAGACCTCTTCACTCAGGAGTATTTTACGACCACTATGGCGGCAAAGAATTGTAGCATTAAAAGCTATTGCTCTTCTGTACATCGCTGTCAGTCTGGTTATGTTCACAGCGAGAATATTAGGATGCCTTGGTCCACCACCGCTCGACGAATCTAACTTTGACGGAAGAAGAACTTGGGGTAAAGCAAGCGGACCTTGTTTGTTGTCTGTTTTTTTTTGTTAAACTGTTTGTCTAACGTGCTAATGGTTTACCCTCATTAGACACAAATGGAACCTCGCCGTTAAATGAGCTGGATAATTATTCCCGCTTTTATAAAATGCATTCTAAAATGTCCAACGTCTTTATAAACAACGTAAAGCAATACCACAAACGAGCAAGCTATGAACCAAACAAAGATGATATAACAGTAACTGCCTTTGTTACCGAGAATCGTTTCGATGATCTGAGAAGACTAGCTGAACTATGGCAAGGTATGCGATAAATAATATGATTTTGTGTTGGAAAAAATCAAATTGTCAACTTTTCACCAATTTGCTAATTTTTCTTAATGCCTATCGCAACTGCTTCTAGGCCCGATAGCTGCAACATTCCATATTTCCAGCGCAAGTTTAGATGAAAACGATCCGATAGTTCAGCATGCCTTTGACAATCTAAACTATTATCTCAATCAACATCCGATTATCGCTAAATATGCCGACATTCACGTAGTAGCCAGCATTTTGTCTTATGAACAACCGGAAATGCTTGCTCGTCCCACCAACTTTCATCTCAACGTTGCTCGATTTTTCGCTCGTACCGATTTTATCTTTTATCTCGATCATGATACGTGGCCTACCGTCAGAACGAGAGAAGAAATAAGGAGACACCGGAAACTATTATTAAATGACGATGTTATTTCAGTGCCTACATTTGCATATAAACCCGCAGCAACGAATCTGCGAATGCCTCGAACTAGAGAAGATGTTATTTCACTGGTCAGGAGCGGAGATTTGGGTTTACAGGATGACGGATGGGAGTTGAATCGAGGACCGACGTGTTATGCATCGTGGCAAAAAGGAAAAGTGTACAAGATTGAAGACTTTGAAGTACATTATAGACCAAACTTTGTGTCAAAAAGAAATGGTACAATACCATGGTGGGTATATACTTGTATGTGCAAGTGCGTGCATTACCCCAAATCTCATATATAACTTGACTACAACGCTTTCTGTTAAAATAGGTGTACAGAGCGGTTTGATGACAACAAAGCTGCTTGTCTCTATCAAGCGTATATTACTGGTTCTGATATCTGGGTGCTTCCCGAAACATTTTTAATTCGACGTAATTTCAATCCTAAATCTCATCTCCTTAAACCAAGTGAATCTAAATGGGCGGTAAGTTTGAACGTTTCATTGTCCATTGCATGAGTTTCAAGTGTAAACTATGCCTTGAAAAAATTTTTTGCTTTTGATTTTATTACTAAATTATTTATTCTGCTTTTTTGCCTTGTAGAAAGCAATAAATTCTCGCTTGTATACTAAATTTTATCGTGAGGCATGTGTACATTACGCTCGCCAATTCATCTTTGAGGGTAAATGGGATTCGCCGCGTGCAGTGCATCTCAAACAAGAATGTAATAGGGTATTGACTAATTGGGGGAAAGGGCTTGTTGATGCGTGATATATAAATAACTAGACGTAGGAAGGCGTTGCGTTTCCTTTTTGTATACGTACGGATTGGATAATAATAGAAATACATAATATATTTCACATTGAAATAAAAACAACGTATATAGTTTTTTTTTTTTGACCGTATGTGACATGTGACTGATAAAATGCTTGACTTGATTACAAAAAAAAGAAAGCGATTTTAATATAGTTACATCTTTATCAAGCTAAAACTAATGATATACACAAAAGTAATTTATATTAGTAAATATACAAAATGTTGCCCAACTCTCGGCTGAAAATAGTCGAGGACGCGAAAATATCGTTCGTGAATTATCTCTACATCACTTCAATAGTCATTTACTACAGAATCGTGACAATTTTCCGTTCCCGCTTCAAGTTAACCCAATTATATCGTTTCATTCATTCTCCTCACTTTCATCTCTCACCCACTTCCATTTCCCAACCTCAGTATGACCAATTTCATCGTTCCCTAGTCTCTCAGGTATGGGCTCCATACCCAATCCACCACCGAATCCACCAAATCCACCCACTCCACTTGCTCCACTATTCATAAACTGTTCATTTCTAAACTCGAGTATCGGGGTCGTGCTGCTAGTGACTGGTGTACTAGACCCACTGTCCTGAGATGAAGCAGGGGAGTATTTTAGCACTGGAGAGAGCATATTAGCACTCAAATAACCTGGTGTTGCTGGTGGTAGTGTACTACTTGTTGACGCGAACGACTGCGTACGTTTTGGAAGTTGTGGTTCATATTGGAGCGACTGTTTCCGCATTGGAATTTTTGGTGGATCCGTTATATTTGTATCGGAAACGTAGTTGTAACCACCAGAAAAACTCTTGGTCATCGCATTTGGTGGTCTTGCTGTATAAGGACTGGATGCTGACGGCGGCTGTTTTTCTGGCAAGACTAATGCTCCTAATTGTGTCTGTGTTGCGACTAATGGAGGTGTGGATGACGGTTGTTCATCATATGATGTAGATGCAAATTTCGTTCGGCGTTTCCTTCTCCAACAACATATCAGAACAGCTATCGCAGTGATTAATATTAAGCTTCCTCCAACTGATGTTCCTACTATTACAGCAGTCTTTGTAGATAACCCATTCGACGTCCCGTCAGACCCACCAGATCCACCCGATCCGTCAGAGACGCCACCACTAGGTACGGGAGTTGCTGTAGATGTTGTATCTATATTCTTGGGAGTGTACGACGACATCCAAGTAAAAGATTTAGCGTCTAGTATTAAAAGAGAAGGATCCGTCTCAAAATTCGTCTAGATTGTATAAAGTAAATAACAGTGTGTCAGTACAATGCTAATAAGGGCACGTTGGATTTATACGTTAAAATTACATCACATGACTATAGGAATTAAATAATTCAATAATTTAAATATAGTAAAAATGTCACAATGACGAGATTTGAAGTTACGTAACCAACGGACAGTAGATAAATACATACAGTATAACCTACAAAAATAACGGCAAAATCAGTAAAAATAGTGAATGTGACATATCGAACTAATCACAATCGCAGTTATTTTTATTCATTGACACGACAGTTCCCAACCCTCGCTTACCAAATGCAATGACAATGTTATCCCCCGCCAATGTCATAGAGTGAGCATATCTTCCAGCAGGGAGGACCCCCTGTGTTGATTGTTGAGTCCAAATTGGTGGCTCAGCGTTAACGTCCAAGATATATACGTCGTTATATAATGTACTATATGTTTGATCGCATCCACCAAAGATTATTATTATGTTTGAAGAAGCTTGTAGCAATAAGAGAGATGAATAGAGAGATCAGAGAAGTTAGGGAATGGAAACTCCATCGGGAAAATGCCAGAATATGATGTATGCTAAAGTAGACACAAGATTGCTTACTTCCTACAGCCTGATGCGCTCTTCGCGGAGTGGGGATACTTCCTATTGCGGTCTGTACACGAGAATAAAATAAAAAATCAGCATGTCAACACAAACAACAGGATGATATCAAAATTGAAGCCTGGTCAATTAATGCTCGTGGATTTTCACCATTGCCACACGCTATAATTGCCACCACGCTATAATGGCCCCCGTTATAATTACTCATCATTCGACTCACCGTATTACTCCATAATCCTCTAACCGTATCAAATACATAAAGAGTGTCCATGGGTATCATTTGCCCATTGCCAAATCCTCCAATTATCCACATTCTCCCGTCGTCCATCATCGTAGCGCTGTGATGGAATCTGCCAGTTGGAGAAAACGTCTGTGAACCACCGATTAAAGACCAATTCATGTTTGTAGTGTTTAACATGTACAACTGATCAAGCTGCGTTTGCGCGGATGTGTTGGTCGAAGAAGGAGTTATCGGTATTCCTCCAAATATGTATACAGTAGAGTCATTTTTGCTAGCCGCCGAGTGTTCCATGCGACTTGTTACTTGGGGTGCTTGATTAGGAAGCCAACTGTTACTTTGCGTATCGAAAGTGAATAGTGATGTAGATTGAGTTGTGGAAGGAGTCTCTCCACCGAACGCAATAAGCATGTTGTTATCGCCACCGCCTACAGAGAGGGAATGAGATGCCAATATTGGACCATCCGGGCCAAGTGTCCACGGAGCCTGGGCCACACTGAACGGGGAGGATAAATCGAGAATGAGCAGCTGAGATGTGTCAGCAGCTGTTGTACTTGGAATTGGTCTTGCGCCTATTCTCCCACCATGGATATAGAGTCTGTTGACAAATATTGGCAAACCATTAATATGTAATTCGTTATGAGACAGCTAGATTCCAGACCATAATGCAATTATACTTGCTTTTTGTTGACTAATTGTGCTCGATGATTCCTGTGAATGATAATGGTAAACTGTTATAACGTTGTTGACGGTATATATGCGTTTATCCCAATTTTTCCCAGTTAGCTTACCATCGTGGTTGTGGAATCAGAGCGCAAGTGAGTTGTATTAACAATACAAATATACCGAGTATCACTGAGTGAAACCAGTACATGTTTACTCTCTCAATAGCGAGTGCGTGCTAGTAGATATCATTTATGGCGGGGGAGAGAGAGAGGGAAAGAGAACAAGTAGAAAAAAACGAATGTCGTGTAAAAAAAACTTAACAATGTCACTATTTGGTTTAGCACACTATTTCAAATTTGTAATTGGAGGGGAGGACTGCTCTTTTAAACCCTGTGTTCGGAATATTTTGTGTGGTTTAAACCAGTGATCGGCCCTGATTTCTGCTCAACTCCGATCACAATTCGCAACTTTACTGTATAATAATACAGTAAATATACTGTGTCATTTAACAGTTTAGGATTATCTGTAATACATGAAGTTTTGCGCTAATACAATTATTATTTTCATCATTGTAAATCAGAGATTGGCAGACAATCTCTTGGGGAAAGTTAGCAGAAAAAAGATCTACGTGCAACTCAAATTATATTAATATGACAGTTCTGGCATTTTGTCACTAATTATTATTGTGTGTAACTGTAAGATCATGCCGTTTTGAACTGTTGGGACTGTTTATACAAGAGAAAACCTTTTATAGACGGTTTTCGGCTGAGTGTGATAATCATTGAACAAAAAGCCTAATTTCTTAATTTGGTACCGTTTTCACTTCTCCAAATAGCCTAACAATCATGATAACGTTATTATACTTTGTACATATTTAGCAATATTAGACGCAGCAAGACGCAGCAAATCCATTAAGAAGAATACCGGGTTATATATGTCTGCATAAGACAAACGTTCCCCGTTTTAACGTTAATCAGTAAATGTCCCTTCTTTCGCTTGCTATACTTGTTACTTACGACATATCAACTATTTGAATTAGTAGCCCTTTTCATTACCAATTTTGTTGATCGTGAGAACGTGTGACCGTTACGCCGCAAACAATCTCAGGGATAGTACTACGACATGTGATATTGGGTATGAAAACTCCGACGTACCAAGATGTATGATATCCTTCCTACATAAAACGCCCAGATGTTCTGTTATAGAATTTGTACACAATATCATTGCATTTATAACGTCACTCGGTAAATTTCAATGGTATTGCTAGCAAAATATCAATCGAGTATTTCTTGTACATTTTTTGTTGCGCTAGTCCGTTTTGACGTTGAATAGTTATTATAATTTATAATTAACCAGGCTCATTATGAAAAGCCCGGATTCCCGTTTCGTTTTTTCTCATTGATGCTTTTCTAGTTAGATCGATTTCTAAAAAAAGACTAATGTAGCCAATTAACTATTAACATGCAAGCACAGATAATTGTAAGTACACACTACAGTTAAGGACTTCAGCTTGCATAGACTTTTTCCCCTGGGGGCGGAATTACGTAATGGACTTTTATGTTAAACTGAGATATAACTGATTCGGCTAATTTTTCGTACACATCTAAATGCCCAGCTCGATATACCGGGTTTTGTGTAACGACACTATATCATAGCAGAATCGATTTCGGTTATATATGGGGCAGACTGTAACAAAACCGGACAAAGTGAACATTTGATCATATGAGCTAAAGGAGGCTGATGTGGCTGGAAAATGAACTAATTTAGCTGACAAAAATTTTGGTGAGGCTTTGCTTGATTTATAGTTGCGGCTCATGCACTAATTTTTAGTGGCATTTTAGACCTATTGCTAGTTCTAAACGAATGCAACTAGCATCCGGATATAAAAGCAAGATGAATTCACATTCACCAAAAAACATCAAACTACTGTATCTAATTGCAAGCAAAACATTTGCACTATCCAAAAAGGCTTTGTTTAATAAAGATAGTTCGTTATATCGAGTTCTGACAAAAATCTGCAGGTGCAGACAAGAATGCTAATTGTGTTTCCATTGGTAGACATTTGCTCTTTGCTTGGAAATTTTATTATTATTATCTAAAAACATAAAAATTTTGGATGGACGTCAAGTGACCTTCACGTGACAAACCATGTTCCTCGCGAACACATTTTTGACCACCTTCACTCGGGTTCGCGCCAAACTGGCACGGTTTGAAAGCGCGAACCTCCTGCCGGTTTTCGTTTCTGATCGATATTTTTAGGCCAGTCTCAGCGGCCTCTTCAATTTTGTCGATTTCCGGTGTTTTTCGTCCGCTACCAAGAATGGTTCCAGTGCTCGGAATTTGATTGGCTGACATGTAGGCCATGTGCATCGGTATTCATGACGTCATTTTGGGGAGATAATCGATCATTTCACATCACCTGCGACCGCGTTACAGTGTGAATCAACCAACTGGTTTCCACATCTAAATATACAACATGCTTCACAGCGACTCGCAAATACAAGCGTACTTCATCGAACATACAGCTTGGTCGCTGATATCTTTTTTGAAATACCGAAAGGAAGCGCCAGACTTTACAAAAGATAAAGCTGTGGAGCATATTTTATATAAAAAAGCACTTGAGGACATCGTCGCTAAAAATGCGGAGAATTGTATTTACGCCAAAGAATGTCTTGCAAATTTCACGGTATATTTTAATATTTATCTACCGTCGTTAACTGAAGACTAAGGGCCAAGGTGGAAACCCTGGGTAGCTGGCTTAGTTCGCCTTGCTGGTGATAGCGGGATTCGTTCTCCCCCAGGAAATAGACTTCGTGTTTATCGTCGTGTTGCAATGAAGGGGCTCGTCCTCATCCTTGTTAGGCTTCGGGCTGTTTCACGGCGTACATTTTGGTCCTTAGTTATGACGGATTTGGGTTTGGGCTTAACATGTTGGGCTTATTCCACTTTACACTAACATATTTTTTCTGATTTCTATATGAGAATGAGAGAGAGGCGCCAGTCGTTGAGGCTTTCTGGGTTTCAGACGATATTGACCTTATCAAGGTTGGTAGTTTATTATCTGAAAATTATTTGTGCTAATAGGAAACTAACTTTATCGTGTCCGATAGATAAACTATGCTAAAGACGCTTTAAGAAAAACCGTCAATGAAACTCAAGACATACGTGCGATAGTGGCCGAGGAGACTAGCACAATCATAAAGCGTCCATTTAAAGTAACAAAAGAAAAGCTTTTTTCTTTATCACTGAACAATATTTACATAAATTAAATTTTGTAGAAAAACGAGAAAAAACGCTCGATTGACGAACTGGAGGATACCGTTACTCGACGCTGCCAATTTGTATTTTCGACTCCCATCCAGAATAGTAGAGTCATCGTTCATAACAGCTGACAATATTAATTTGAATCCAGATGAATGCTCTTGAATGTAGACTGATTCATATATCTGAATTAAACAGATCGGGAGGTTATTAACTCAAACATCCAAGAAGATCAACTATTGAACCCGTTCCTCGTTTATGAGTAAGTTTTCTTGTATTATTACCTTTAAACCTTTTTTTAATGATTAGCGAATACTTTGTTCAAGTGACGGTCCGCCCAAGAATGCGGAATCCATTTCACCGGTTCCATGGGAGTTCGACTATTCAATGCCTTCGTGGTTAGAGAAGATGAAAAAGCAGTACTACATGCTGGTATCAGAAACGGACCAGACTGCGAGGTTCAATTCAGCCTCAAAGCAAGTATATGTACCGTGGAATTCTGCATTCCTATTATATTCTGACGCGGTATTCTTCCCTTAGGCCACTCTACTGGAGAATCGTGGATGCTTCAGACCGAAGTGTTGTACCGGATATCTTACACGAGGAAGATTTTTTGGAATTGAACGCGATGTTTTCATCCGCCCTCAATCTTGGCAATCAAGAAAGTAATTGGACGGTACTTGATCCTCCAGCTGAGAGATGCCTCCAGTCTCTCTCTAACGTGCGTATATAGACTTTACGATTCATATCTGGGTAATCTTATTGAAGTGCACATGCCTATTAGTTGAATAGCAACCAATTGTGTGAAGTCGCCAAAATCGTGAAACCCGAGGGCACCCGCGGAGCTATATTAAGGCTTCAAAAGATATCTGACAACATTAAAGAGGAAGCTTTCGAACCTGGGTTGTTCGGTGACGATAATGTGGATGACAACACACCCTGTCCCTGCCCAGTTCAAGAGACAGATTATATGAATCCGGATGTACAATATATTTTAGATTTGCTTCGTTTCACGTAAGTCCCTTAAATGCATGCTTGTTTGATATTCGTTCTTTTGGATTTCTAACAAAGATTTCTTCCATTAGATTCGAAATGCTAGAAAAAGGAATCCCGCAGCGGAAAAATTCCGAGCGAGACATTGACGTCTTCATAAAAACACATATATTCTCGTGTTTCGACGGCGTTCTTGACAGACACTTGTAAGTTCCGTTACTGCTTCTAACGATAGAAAGATTGTGCATTAACGTGAACATTTCACATTGTCATTAACTAGTGGCGACATGGTTTCACGAGCTTCACGGCGTCGCCGAGTGGAAGCAGTCGATGCACCAAATAAAGCAGAAGGCTTCCATGTGGACTGGTTATTCACGGTATGCTAAATTCGTATGACTTTTGCTTGTCAATATGCGAATTTTGAATGTATATCACTGTTTCTTTCAGAAACATGACCTCGCAAAAGACGTGCCGTGGGGTCACGAATTCTCGCTTTGTGAACGTGCTGGTTCGAAAGTTGAAAATGATAAGAAAGTCGATTTACATACCCTCCGAGTTCAGAAGACCCTTCGAGATATGCACAGTGCTCTATTCGAAGCTATCGCGACGGCAGGAGGCGGAGCACTTTCAAGATCAGTCCTACATGCTTGCACGAAGCTGCTCATGCCGGGATTCATATCGTCCTGGTTTTTCATTCGTGTCATGCTCGTTATTTACGTCGGGGCTGGATTCTATTCGTCAACTAAGCTTGCAGAGTTTGACATGCCAATGACATACAGTGTGTTACGAAAAAAATTGCCCTCACCAAATTGAAGATATTTTGCATAATAAACAAGAAACGCGTTTGTTTATTGCCAACGCGACATTATTTACACTTAACGACAAATTAGGTAAACGTTTTTTCAGGATAAAAACTTCGAATTGTCAGACATCCCCCGAACCTACATTACCAGTAACAATGGTTAACTCGCGACTGGAAGCCCAACGCCAAACAATTCTCCATTATTGGCTTAATAGCACTAAATCGCCAATGGAAATACACAAAAAAACTAACATTTCCCTTCGTACGATCAAGTATAATTTTAAAAAACTCCAAGATACAGAATCCATCGAACACAGGAAGGGAAATGGTCGCCCTTCCAAGGTTACACAAACAGTATCTCGCGCTCTTGGACAACATTTGCACCGAAACACTGCCACTACAACGCGGCAACTTGCTTCAAAGGTGCAAACAACACAACAAATATCTATTTCGCATGTCTCTATTTGGCGTCACATGAAAAAAAAGGATATAAAAGCTCTATACCTCTTGCAACGCCAATGCTCACTGAACAGCACATTGAAAGACGGAAGGCGTGGGCGGAGGCACATTTGCGTGATAATTGGAGCCGTACTATCTTTACTGATGAAACGGCTTTTGATCTTTTTAGAAATAAGGTCCATCGGTGGCATAAGAACGGTACAAAGCCTATCCGACGCTTGCCTAAATCGCGCCAGAAAGTGTTGGCGTGGGGAGGCATTTCCAAAAAAGGAAAAACACCTCTATTTTGCTTCACTGACATAATGGACGGACCTTTTTACGTAAATATATTGCAATCCCAACTCTTGCCTGCTGCTCAAAACATGTATGGCAGGAACTGGCGCTTGCAACAAGATAATGATCCAAAGCACACCTCGCGTGTTGCCAAGGATTTCCTTGTCGAGAATAAAATTCGGGTTATTGATTGGCCGTCCAATAGCCCGGACCTTAATCCCATAGAAAACATGTGGCAAATAGTCAAGAACAATGTTGAAAAACGAATGCCAAAGGATATTAATGAGTTGAAAAAATTTATGATTGAGGAATGGGACGCAATTTCAGTTGAAACAGTGAATAATTTAGTTTTATCAATGAAAAAGAGATGTGAGCTTATTTTGGAAAAGAATGGGGATAGGATTTCATATTAAAAATTTTACCTATAATAAAATACATTATAAACTTTCTAAAACACTTGGAATTGTTTAAATATTTTGTGTCGTTGTCAAGTTATGAAATTTTTTGTGAGGGCAATTTTTTTCGTAACACACTGTATGATCATGATGCGCACTCGACATGCGCTAATGCAGGATTCGCTCCTCGCTTGATCCACGCTGGCAGTTCCCAATATGGATTTAGGATGATAATTATGGAATACGTTGAAGGCCGCCCACTTTCATCATTGCAACCTCCCGAAATCATGAACATGTCAAGGAAAGATCGCAATAATATCTACAACGATGTCTTACAAGCGATTACCGTACTGCACAAGACAAACACAGTATTCGGAGATCTCCGAACCCCGAACATTTTGCTGGTTGAAACCTCGTCCGGGGTGCCGTCAGAGTCAACAATTAGTGCAATACTCGTTGACTTTGAATGGTGCGGGATTGATCAAAAAGGAAGATACCCTCTGTCCATGAGCAGAACTGTACCCTGGCCCTCTGGTGCAGAGCCTGGCGCACTCCTCAGAACAGACCATGATAACTACTGGCTTGGATATTTGAAGCGCCAGCTTAATGTACGTATTTTATGACATCGTTGAAATATTAGTTTACTTTTCTCACTGTGTGAATACAGCTTTCTTAGGTACAGCCAAGATGATCCCGGGATTACGTTGAATACGGAAAAGACGTATTCTGAAACACTATTATAAATGCACATGTACATTGTTTTATGAAAAATGAAAGGGGAATAACGGGCATGAAATCAGTAATAAAAAAATCTCGCTAGTTTGTGAGTGGTCAATTTATTTTGTTCCAGTGAAAACATGAAACCAAAAATGCCGACTGCAAATGATATATAGGATTACCCATATATGAAAAGTATTGAATATTATGCTTTCGTCGAATATAAAAAGGCAATACAATTCTTGGAATTAGGGTTGCAATTGTGGTTGTTCAAAAAAGATTGCGAGAGAAAAGTTTGCCGAATTACGCAAAGCGTTTCAAGCTCTCTCTAGATCCGAACAAGATATATATTTTTAATGGCCCAGCTGAATGCAATGAATGGTAGAGAAATAACTGCCCGACGTCTTAAGAAGAAAACGCGTACTAATAAGCGAACGTTTCACTACTGAGATCGCAATACGCCGCTTTGTCAGAAAACGTATCTAAATATGTTAGGAATTGGTCGTACCCATTTCGAAAAGTCAGAAATCATCTAGGAATGAATGGCATAATACCGCGCATTCACGGTAATATCAAGCGAGTGCCGCGATGGAAAACTAAAATAACCATTGATATCACTGTCGCTACCGCCGTGAAAAATTTTCTTGAAACTTATGCTGAAATTCATGGATTACCAAGTCCTGGTAGAAATGTTAATCGAATTACGCAATCGCTTACATTATTGCCAGCCGAAACGAGTCATAAATCAGTCTATCGTGATTTTATTGCAGGTCTCGAAAATGATAACACACTGAAATTGTTAAAATATGATGCGTATCGCAAGTTATGACACCAATTAAGGCCCTATATTCAATCATGAGCCCAAGAACGAATTTATGTGACACGTGTCAACATTTTCGGAACGGCCTACAGAATAATGCTCGTAAGGAAGAAGCAAAGGATTTACTAAAAAGTACAAAGAACATTTAGTTAAGGCTAAATTAGAAAGAAATTATTACAACAAAAATACGAACAACAGAGAAAATTGGTAGACAAGCATTTATAGCAAGAGGTAAAGCTGATTCTTGTAGTGTCGACGCGACTGCGCATTACAGGTAAGTAACTTTATTATCTCAGTCCGCGTAAAGTGCATTTATTTGGTATTCAAGACGAAGCAGTACGCGCGAACAAATTAATTACGTTCTCGATGAAGGCGAAATTATCGGCAAAGGACCTAACGGTACGCTAAGCATGGTATTTGATGAGATTAAGCGATTGAATAGAGGCGAAAAGCGTTTGAAGATTACTTGCGATAACGCGGGTGGACAGAATAAAAATAATTTTACTATTTAATTTTATTTATATTTAGTAATTTGCGGTTATTACGAGTGTATCGAGTTAAATTTTATGGTGCCAGGACATACTAAACTCAAATGTGATGGTAGTTTCGAACTGATTAAAAAGCTTTATCGAAAAACGACGGGAGATTGAGTGGATCATGTTGTTGAAGTTGTGAAAAGAACGAGTACAGCGGAACAAGGCTCAGTGCTATGAAAACGGCAAAGGCTTTCATCTTAATTCCGTGTTGGGAATTTTCTTTAAAAAACCAAATATTTTACAAAAATATCAGCATTTTGTATTTGAAGCAGCCAAAGCTCAGCTGGTTGCTAATGGTTTGTATACTGAATTTAATTTATTGAAAACCAGAAAAGCAAGTGCTTCTGAAATTACCAAAGAAATTAAAATTTTTATTAATATTAGGTTTTCATAATAATATCCGTCATCTAGTTAGATGTGGCTATGCTACTGTTTACCCAAATTAACACCTTATTTAGCAAAGCTAAGAGCATTATCATCCCAAACATTTCCAACTTCCGAGCGATGGGTTAGTGAGGGCTACCTTAGTCGTCAATGGGATATTGCATGGGCTGGCAGTGCGGTGCCGATGGCACTGTTGTTGTTGATGATGATGATGTGAGGTGTAAAATTCTTAGCACGCAGATATCAAAAAGCGACTCGACATCTAACACCGCGCGACTTCATGGACGGCTTGTTTTGTAATTTCTGGAAACAAGTATACAAGTACTTGCCTTCGAGTTTCATGGCACCACGCGCTGTAAGTCACGGGTTTCTTGAGCCAGTCGCCTCTGTTGCCAGCGTGTACTTGGACCGGATGTTGCTACCGCATGAGAGAGTTGAGGCAAAAATCGGTGGAGGGAGGGAAAGGTTTCGCAGCAGTCGTAGGCCATGAAGTAGATGCCCGCGGTCGTTGTGAATAAAAAATCCTTGCGATAGTAGATTAGGTCCGGGCAACGCGCGTGCCTTGTATTCAAAAGTTTTTATTATGACACTATATACACGTTCTCCCTATATAATAAGGAATATATACATTGTATTTGTCGTCAGCGACATTAAACTAATAGTCGATAGCAGACTCAGCAAATGTTCCGTTTATTTGACTTACTTTAATGCTAAATTTCCGCAGACTGCTGATTCACCACCGCACCGTAATGCTTCTTTTTTTGGTCCAAGAGAAATATAATCATTAGAAAGTTACAATCTTCGTCTTTCGTATGTTGTCTCCAGAGTTCATGAAGATCGTGAGTCGCTCTAATGGTATTTGTTTTAGTGATTGTTTTAATTGTTTACTATTATAATTATTGTTCGAAGACATTTTAAACTCACCAGCATAGATACTGTCTTTTTATACTTTCTTTACCCCTTGAAATCGAGCATCAAATAAACATGTATATACATATATAATAAAATGTGTGCATGTATCATAGAAACAGCCTTTGTGTTGTGAATTAAAAAGGTCCTTGTGATAGTCTTGTAAAATAAAAGAGAGTTACCGTTTTAATATAACATCTCTTTTTTGCGAAAGCGAAAGAAAGAAAAGTGAGGTGGTTGGCGAGAAAAAATTTTTTCCATGATGTGGTACTTGTAGAACAGTAAACAAATCGCGCGCGCCATATTTGTAAACTGCACACGTCACTAATGTCGATTAGTACTATGAACGTGTACAGACTGTGGAATGACAGCAGAAAAAGGAAGTGCGAGTTGTTTAATAGGATGTTAGAAGAAGTTATAAAGGAGAGCGACGGCTAAGGTAGCGAACGCTTAGTAGATATGTGAACATATTTTTCAACCCTTTTACATATGAAGAGGTGGCATTTAGAGATAGCTAATTATTAGATTAGAGGATCAATGTCCAGGATTGGTGCACACAACACCATTTAAGGTCACTGCTGGTTTTTGCAAGTTGCTCATATTCCTATAACGAACTATTGTATGAACATGATAAAGTTAAACTTTTCCGTTAAGGCGTATTAACCATATAAGTAATGGCACCAGAAGAGATATTTTATGTTTGAATACCTTGAGATGGTTATGTTTATATGCTAATTTCACTTATGTGTTTTGAAGTCAGTATGTAAGCGGTTAGAAGGAATATAAACAAAAAAACTCAACTTGCCTGCAAAACATCATTTTGAAAAAACTAACCAACTTTCGTCAAGATATTAATATAAGGTCAATGCACGATTATTAATATTAAACAATGGACAGAGCTTACCAGAACATCTCAGCATAACTTTGATTACGATGCAATTGGGCGATTTATTAAATATGGTTTTGATTACGCAAATATGGACTCTAAATGTCGATAAGTGATCGAGAATCGGATATCATAATTAGTATTAGAAAATATAATATTAACTAAATAAATGCTGGTATAACTACACCATTTATTTACTTCTACTATCGCTATAGGATTTTTGTTGTCGAAATTACCATTAGTAAGAAAGTTGCAGATATGGACCAATCAGAGGACGAAACCAAGTTTTCGAATGTCAGATATTTGTGATACGATCCCTAAGCACTGCCTCACCTCATTGTTCAAATATGTGCCGATTTCAAAAATCCTATTGCTATATCTTTATAGCATCAATTAATAGAGAATCATCACAAAATGGAAGGTAAAGCGTCGTCCAAATGGTTGCCGGCATACAAAACGGCAAGAAATTAAAAAAGGACGATATATAATGCTGGCTTTCTTTGTCAATTCTGTTCATGTCAAAGCTTTGATCTGCGTTCTGCACGTTCAACTATCTTCTCACTTTGTCTTTTTACACTTCTTCCTTAATAACAATTTTCTCCAAAGACCAATTCACTGATCCACTTTCCGTTTCCACAAACGTACCACAAACGAGCTCGTCCTCTTCACCCTCTACACCTTCTACGATCTCGTCCTCTATTTCCGTCCCGACATCTCAAACATCGACGAACTTTTCACAAAAATCGAGGCAGGCGCCTTCTCATTGGCAGAAATTACGAGAGCTTGTATTAGTCGATCAAATTCCAGAGATACCGCGAACATCGTCTCTTGTAAATTTAGAAGATAACCATTATACCAGTCGAGCCGTTGACGGAAATTATGGGGAACAGAAATTTCCATTTGGGACAGGATTACCAGGAATAATTACAGCAGCTACAACAACGACATCGACGACAGCCACATCGGCCGTAGGTTCCGTTCTTTCAAACCCAAGTTCGACATCCACGCTAATTACACCCCCACCACCCCCCAAATCGCTAAAATTTCAATACCAATCTCGCCGCCTTCGGTTCAAGACAACTGTACAACAGCAATCAGATGTTCACAAAATGGAAAAAGACATTGAAAAATTGTTCTCTCGTCGTAACTATTTTTCATCCTCATCCCCATCATCTTACTCTTCGTTATCTTCCTTTCCATACAACATTCCAACGCCGGCACTGAACTTGTCAAATTTGTCTCAGACAACTGTCGGAGAATTTGTGAAGGGGGCAAAGAGTGGTAGTGGCGAAGGTATGGGGGAAAACGTGAATTTTTATGGAGAATTAATGGAGGTGTTGAAAAGGTGGAAGCACGTGGTTAAGTTGGCAGCTGCCCAAGAAGTATTTGCTGAACTGGCACGGCCGTTTTTTAATTATCCCGTGAATGGTGAGTAAATGTGAATAGTGCAAAAGTTTGTGCGACGGGGACGTCAGAGCAAAGTAGGATCGTGAATACCTGTAGCACGTTTGCAATCGTTTTAATGAGCTTTTAATTTTTTGATTACTAACTAACTTTAAATTACGAACATAGTTGACGATTGTAATCAGGCATTGAATATTTTTGAATACATACGAATAAATTATCGGCCATCGGATCCAAATGTAGGTATACGTGAACGTGCTCCTTTTTAGCGAATTGACTTACTGACCGTAATAATATTACTAGGAAAACTTTACAAGAATACAATGGATATGTAAACTCCTGGAAACACATAATAATCAAATACGAGTACGTAGACTCAAACAGTCAACTATCTTTTGCTGAACTTTGTTAATTCGTGGTATCAGTCATTATGACTGATGAGTGATATTGCCAAACTGAAAGGCAATGACTAACACTATTGAGTTTAACGCGTCTGCGAGTATACTTTACGTGAAACTCAATCATCAATTGCTATTGTATCTCGATAGTTTTTGCAAATAGTGGATGGCTTTTTTTTACCCGCGTATAAATTTACTAACGATACTCTCAAATTCTTTTCTTTTATTTCCTCAAATTCGAAAAGATGCGGGTTTGCAAAATTGCCGAATCCCTTTTAAACTCCACATCCCAAGATTCCTATTTCCCAACTTCAATCACCGCTATTTATGCTTTAATATACACATTTGTCCACACACTTGTAATTACGTCATCTCCTTTGTCCAATGAACAAAGCGTCCAATCAGAATTGCACACAATGATTATTAATTTCATGAATCGTTTGGCAGCAGGGACACTAGTATCTATAGATCCGGATGAGATGTCAATTGGCAATGCAAGGGTGCAGATACATAAATACGATAGTTTGGCCAGATGTGTGTTTTTGGAAGGATTGGTAAAGTGTTGTCTGGTTAAAGATGGGAAATTGAGGCGGTATGTTATGGGCAATTTGATTGAGGTAAATATAACGTTGATGGAGATTAGATAAATAATTTGTTACCTATAACTTTTTTCCCAAAGTATTACATTATTAGCAGTTTATTGATTTTTACTTGTCAATTATTTAGAAATATTGGGTAACACCAGATCCGACTATGAAAAGCTTATACGAACACGTAATTCAGTTATTTGCCCACGCGTCGTTTGGCATTCTCACAGATCTGTCTTCCTTTTCATCTCCACCTTCTCCATCTATTCCGCATATTCTTTCACCAACAAACACCACAGCCCCATCTGTTTCTCCCTCGCATTCTCTAGCTTATTTAATTCTCAAAACACTACACAACAATATATCTCCCGAGACATTGAAAGACACTTCAGCTCATGTAGTGAGATCATTGGTTAGCGTTGCTGTGTGTGTGCTTGCCGTGTATCCTCCTGAGAGCACTTCATATATAAACTCAAAAACGACAAATAGTGGAGAGAAAAATGATGCGGGACTTGACAATTATTCCAATAAAAGAGACGATAAAGAGAATGAAGGTAAAAAGGAAGAAAGTACAGTGGTTATTACAATGGCAAAAAAATACGTAGAAGGTCTCTGGATATGTGGATGGCAACATGAAGTAATTATGCTTGTGAAAGAGGCAGTAAGTGTTTATTAGCATCATTCGATCGGAAATTATTAGAGAGGCGAAATACGTAAAGAATTGGGAATTTTAAAACATTAAACAGAATACATCAAGATTATAATTATACTAATGTACTAACTATCTTTCAATTAGATTGAACAAGATACCTTGGAAAGAATTGTCTTTATGTACAATCATTTAGCATTTGGCATTAATGAGAGTATAGGAACAGAATTAGTAAAGGAGACGATTTCAGACTTATTTGCAGTAAGTAGAACAATTCAATGCAACTTGTAAATCAAGAAGCTATATAACACTTTTCTTATCACCTTTTTACCCTGTTTTGTCTTTGCATTCATACGACTCAAAAAGAAACTTTCAAGAGTATCTCCTACTTCCAGTGCTGTCTCGCATCTTTCCAAACTTCTTTTATCACTCTCCACCAAATATCGACCAAGTTTCTATAAACCTATACTCGCATGTGTGGCCTCAGACTCTGAGGAAAGAGTGGCAGAGTATTTACATCTGATAGTTACTTTGAGACGATATATGACAGCCATCGAGCTGTGGATGCAAGATAGAGAGTTTCTATGTACCGTTTTATTAAGTGATGTTGGGAGCGGAAAATCTGGTAATAAGGGAAAATATAAAGATGTGAAAAAGAAGTCAGGAAGCGAGAAACAAGATCAAAATGCAAACGGAAAGCAAGAGAAGGACAATGAGGATGACACGTCTTGGGGTTCGACCACTCTTGGTCAGTGTGTGATTGCGATGGAATTTGTATGGGCTGTTAGAGAGCTGCGAGTTCAGTCCCAAAGTGTAAGTTACAGTTAAAGTTACAGTTAAATACCGAGAAATAGAAAAGGAGATATTCATATGAAACTTGGTCAGGAAAATTAACAGCTATAATTTTTCTTACTAAAAGCAATACGGAAGGGCTAGAGGACAGTTGGAAGTAGCAATCAAGTTTCTTTGCGATCTTGAGCGTAAATTGGCCATTTTTATTACAGCAAAGGTATCGAAAATTTACTCTCGCAACGAAATTCTATTTAAAAAAAGAAAAAAAACGCCAACTCGGTACCCTTTATTCGTATAGGAAAAACATGTGCAAATACCCATTCCCCTGCGCCTCATTCTCTGTACCCTCTTTCTTGATTTGCGTCTTCTCTGTCGACAAGCATCACGTCCGGGGTGGCTTACTCGCATCATTAATTGGCTCATTTACTCCTCGCCCGGAACAGTGACATTCCGCGAGATATTTGTAAACAAGCGAGAAAGTAATCGCTTCCCCGCAGATGTGGAGTTACAGCATATATCGGATCAGCTGGATGAGGTTGAGATGATCTTGACAAGGATTAGAGTGGTTTACGCCGCGGTGGATGATTTATGTTTAAACGAGGAAAAAAAAGTGAGTTTTATGGGAGTTGATAACGAGTAGCGTGCGTATTGGGAGGTTGATTCTAGAAATTGACACAGATGATAATGTCTAATATACATATCATTCTAATTGAATATAGGACGAAATGTCAGATTATCTGGCGGTCCCTACAATTGTTGCATTTTCGTCTCCATCAAATCCTTCGGTTCCCCTCAGTCCGTACAATGAAATGCGGAGACGATCTATGCTTGCACCGTCTTCTACAATGACAGACTCGCCGGATACCAATGCGTCGTCCTCATATCGTATACCTGGCTCGTCTTCAAATTCGTCCCGCCCTCCGGGTGTCTCGTCATCTCATAATCACATACCCTTGCTCGACCGCTTTACTTCATCATCCTTTTCCTCCTCGTTCTCCGCTTCTTCCTCGTCTATCGTTTCCAATATCTCATTTCCAACATCTCTTTCCGAAGCAACTTTGACCCTTCTTGTTGCGGTTTTTACCTCCCTTTCGTCCAATGAATATTCGCAAATGGCACCATATTTATGGAACAGATTTCTAAATGATAGAAATCACAAGTCTTTTGAACTGGCTTCATTTTTATTTGTTCAGTGTGGTGAGAAGGCACCTGAGATTGTATCGGAATTAATTAAGAATGATCTATACAGGTAAGGGTAGGATGAAAATGTTCGAGCTGATGGCTTACAGAATAATAACACAATTTGCTAAAATTTGCCCTACAACTAATTCCCGCTAACACTCTAGCTCAAATCCATTACCTCGTACGGTAGCACTTTTAAAGTTATCATCTTTCTTTGCCCATCGCCATACTATATTATCTCCACCTTTCCTCTCTCCTTCGTCACGTCGGCGTCTCATACGCTTTCAAGTGCCACAAATTCCCTTTATTCCGACCGATATTGGCACTTCCGATACAATTCTTTACGATTCAGCTCGCACGTCAGAAGTGAAATCTGGAAGCTCGTTACCAGCAGAAGTCAGGAAACGAATACAAGACTTGGGGTGGGAGGAACAGGATGAACAAGAGCAAGATAGGTGGAAAAGACTTGTTACACCGTTATCTTTGTTACCGACTTTCTATTTAGAAGACGTTGAGAGACAGGAAGAGAATGAAAATGGGGGAGGAGCGGAGGTCGGAATCGTGGGAATGAGTAAGACTTCATACGGTGAAGATGAAAATACTGGTAACAAGGTCGGTTACGCAGAAGGAAAAATCAAGGTCAATAGAAATCGCCCACTAGGAGATCGAGACAATAAGGGACATTCAAACACGAATAATGCAATTCAACCAACATTTAACAAAAAGCGCGCTGTGACTCTTCCTCTTCTCTCACTCTTTTCTCTTTCCCTGGTTGATCTTCTGGACGATACGCATGGTGGTGTCTACGCCCTTTCCAAGGAGGTGATACTCTATTTTCTACGTGACGACCCTTCGCTATTTCTTCGTCTCTACTTTTCCGAACTTGGTTTGTCATCGTTTTCTTCTCAAAAGGCCCTACTCACGAAACTTCGTCATCTACTCTCGATGCAACATGTGTTTCCCCCTGGATTTTCACACACACTGTTTAATCATCTAGCAGGGATTCTGAAATGGCACGCGCGAGACAGTAAGATTGGTGGATTTAGACTGATGTGTTATGTCATGCCTGTGTTGGCCGATTTGGTTCCGACAGTTAACGAAATGACTGTTAGAGATTTTAGAAAAAATAAAATTGAACATATCCTGTTGAATAATGGATCGATATGGTTCTCGGATGGAAGTCCGGCAGAAATGTTTCCGAGGAATGCTGTTGAGGTGGATGTGAGTGGAATCGTGAGTGGAAATGAGAGTGATGCCGTCAACACTGGCTTTGAATTGTTGGGTATCGACAAACGCATATTTAGCATATACATGCTTCGAATCGGCCATATTCTTTTTATGAATAATTTTTTAATTAGCTGCAGCAAGGAAGCTTATTCCTTCAAAAAGTGGATTGAAGAGTATACAGAACTTGATGCTTCCGAGGAATTTGGTAAAGTTCGTGGAAAGACAAAGGCGGGTGTTGAAGACGAGAAAGAAGAGAACAATGAGAACGAGACGTATTTTCCTGATCCGAAAAGACGCAGCGGGTGGACTAGTTGTAGCAAATTGGGTTCGAGCAGTAGAAATGGAGGACATGACGAAAAAAGACTTGCATCGAATTTCTGGGATGACGGAAATGTTAAAGAGTACGAAAAGCATAAGGATCGCAATTCCTTTAATGAGACTAGTGCTAATGATTCGAATGACTGTACGTCTAATGTAAAAAGTCGGATTGATCTTGAACATTTGTCTGCTTTACGTGCACGGGCCTGGAACAATCTAATATATTCTCTTATCAAAAGTCTCAATCGCAACTATAACGATCGTGCGGAACTCACCTTGTTTCTTAATGGTGTAAACAAAATTCTCCTTCGACACTCAACTGATTATGGAATAGTAGGCCAGTCTCTCGTACTATATCTCAATGCTGCCTTACACTTTGATAGATTGTTTGATAACAACAAAGGTTATGCAATCTTCATTCCTGCGGTATTTAAGGTGTACTGTGAGTCCGAAACCAGTCAAGCGATAAGGGCAGCGATTACCTATGCATGGAGTAGATTTTACAAGTTTCATGAAGAGTCTTTTGTATTTCAATCATTGGGATGTTTGACACCGTTAATTCTTCGAGCATATTCTAAATCTCGTGTGCTCGGCGAGTGGATGTCACAATCACTTTTTGAACTTCTTAAATCCCTCTCTAATACAAAAAGACTTCCGGATTCACTTGGTATTCAAGATGATTTATACTATCTCCCTCCATCACTCACAACAATTCCTACGCTTCATCTTCCTATTTCACCTTCCGCTCTCCTTTCCAATCCGCTCGTACGTAAAGCAGCAATAACGGCTGCTAATGCTTCGAAACTCAAACCTGAACTTCTTGGTCTAACAGAGGAGAAGTATTTCCTTTTGGACGATTTATTCAGATTGTTCATGACAATTATTGCATATGATACAGGTTCAGTGAGAGCGGAACAGTTCGTAATGTTGTTAAGAGGAATTTTGGGAGATTTAATTAGAGAATCGAACAGTTTGGCAATGTTAGTTGAGGAAGGGATGGCTGCATTGTGTGAAGTATTTTTAAAATTTGCAAAGAGCGGAAAAGGTGTGGCCGTTGGAAGTGGAATAAGTGGAGGGAATGGCCTTAATGGGAATGTGAGTGGAACCGGGACAGCAACCGGACCAGCAACCTCAACAGCAACAGCAACAGCAACATCGTCGACCACGCCGCCAGCAAGAGTTTCTATTGCATCGACCATGACATCGATGACATCTGACGTTGCATCTGATCCAGAAAATTCATTTGACTACAAGATTTCCGAGCCTTACGTCTACGGCAAACAGTGGCCTCAGAACGATCGCGTAACTATCAAGCTCAATTTCCTTCACCTTATTCGTGTCTATTCTCGACATGGAGGCAGATTATCCGACGCTTCTCATTCAAAGCTTTCAAACATTATTCGTTTGATGCTCAAAGATTATGCAAATGCAAAAGCCTTAATATCAACGGGTTTTATAGCTGAATATATCAAAGATGTCATTGTTGAATCACTAAGTTCATTTTCTGATTCAATCAACCCATCAGCCACCGTCCCGCCTATTCTTCCGACCGCTTTTTCACTCGCTCGTCCTATTGATGAAGGACGCAAGTCAATTCTAACTCTTCTTCGTAACATTGCACCATTATTTCGCCAATATTACAAATCAATCGACTTTTCGGGTGTCCTCGATGGCTTAACAGCAATAATCAAATTCGGTAATGGCATGTTGGTCCGTGGTGATGAGATAGCGTCAATAATCAAAGAGAAGTTTGTCGTAGTTGGTTTATCGGCTGCACTAAAGGGTGACTGGGATGATGATGATGCGAGGGATTTGCGATTATATCAAACGAGATTTATAGATTCTTTAGTGAAAGTTTTTGTGGCTTTGATGATATACACCGACTTGGATATGATGAGCGATTTGAAGAAGTATCCGCCGTCTGCACGGATTATAGAAAGAGTAATTATCCCCATAATTATGGAATATAAAGATAAGGAAGTGAATGAACGAACACCGAATGCAACAGGTGGTAGTGGAACGTCCAGAGGAGCGAATGCATCAGGGTCCAACATATCGAACACATTCATGTTGAATCCACCCCGAATATCGCGAATCAGCCCTCAGCAGAAATACATTGCCAATTGGCTCAGCCTCATAGATTATATCATTCGTTCATGTACAAGCCACTCAATAACACGATCGAAGACGTCTGCATTCAATTTTCTCAATTCATCCTCCACAACAATTGATCAAATAAATTCTGACATTGAAACGGACGAAAAAATAGAAACCAGACAGGAAAAAGGTGACAAGATGGATGACATTAGTATCAAGTCAGATAGCAGACTGAGCCGATTGATGTCAGTAAAGGACAACACACCTAATACACGGATTTCGGTGGCCCAGTTTATAATCTCATTCACAGCATTGAAGATTGCATTAATAAGAGGAGAGAAATGGATTACGAAAGTGCCGGGAATGTGGTTGCAAATTTCTCAGTTTATCAGGAAAACCCTAGGACCGGCGAGTAGTATTGCGGGCGGCGTATATAAATATGGCCAGTGGTCACGCGGATCAACTCCTAATACAAGCACGCATAACCTAGCTACTAACGTAGATGACAGTCAACCTCATTCGCTCAACCCGGCGTCAGCATTCGATTTCGTAACATGGACATTGCTGGAGTTGCTTGTAAGCTATAGACTACCACTTAATCTATATCTACGAACGTTTATTCACCAAAAGATTGGTGGTGGCGGTAGCTGGTCGAGACATGGAAATGAAGAAGGAATTACAAATATGAGTTTCACGAGTGCGAGTGGAAGTCAATTTCCCAGCATTAAAAGGCAGAAGTGGCGGAGCTGGGGCGGTCCTCCTGTCATCAATACATCGAGTGAAGATAGCATCGGAAATGGGCTTCTATTTGGAAGCAGGAATGGAAGTGATACTAATTTAAGTGATAGTGGGCGCATGGGTGACTTTAGTAATAATGATAGAAACAGCTTCACGAATAGTCGTTCTAAAATGAGCCTCGATGCGACGAATCCGAATTATGGTTCGCCTCCTAATCTGTCATTTCCATATCCAGCTCCATCTCCATCTCCAACGCCGACATCATTACCGCCAAGTTATCTTCTCAACCAGCTTTTTGCAAACACAATTCATGCTATGACAGTAGTGCATATGTATATGGGTTATGGCATGCCCGAGGGTATTAATCATCTTTCGGATACACAAAACAAGCAGGAACTTAGGCAATGGCAGTTGAAAGATGCTCTTGATAAATTAGAGACGGAGAGAAAAATTGTTGTTGAGGGTTTTAGCAATGTGTTTTGGAGTTTAAAGAGCTAAATTTAGAATAATTTTGACGAACAACTAATAGTAGTATTAGTATTGTTATATTATAACCTTAACATATACTGGCATTATTGTATATCCCATTGTATTTTATGAATAAATGAGTATGCAAAGCATTATACAAGTTACAGTATCGGACTGCAAAACATATAGAAAATATCTTGATTAAATAAGTATTCATAGAACTATTTGGTGGAATACACAGTGAAGTCTGCTTTAACGAAGAGCTCCGTTCCGCCAAAAAACTTCGTTAATGCGGACTATTCGTTAAAGCGGACTTTTAACTATATAACAAGTTATGCATCGAACTACACAAGTTCGAATTTATACCAAACACCAATACATACACTACCACCTCCACCACCTCTACAAACTCATCTCCTTACCCATCTGTTCCATCATCTGCTTCAGAAAAGAGATCCCTTCTGTACAACTCACTAAACGGAATAGCGAACAGCCCAAAAAGCTTAAGACAGTCGAAAACAGAAATAAAGAAGCAAGCCAAGAGACGGCTTTATCTGCACTTCCAACCTCGATGACTCCAATCTACTGAAACCAACGGCCAACAAAATTTTCCTCAAACCCGACCATCTCGTCAACCACAAAAAAGACAACTACTGTATGTTCTAAAAAATATCTGAAATTGCATTCTCGAAATTGGAATTTTCCCAAATATTAAATTAAACTTGATAATAAATCAATTTGAAATACCTTTCTCTACCGTGTATACAGTGCTGGTCAAAAGTAATGGCGGTAAGTACGCGACTTTGTTTTTTGTTGATAGCAACACCGTGTCGCGTTTTGGAAGTTTGTTTACTATACCAGATTGAGTAGTAGAACAATAATTTAAAATACAAACAATAAAACACAAATGTACAACTTGACTTTACACTCGTTTTAAGTTTTAAATGACGCCTACACCTATTAAAACAAACCGTGAACTTGTTAACTTTCTTTGGAAGCAAAACATCCGTAATGCAAAAGAAATTTCGAAAAAACTGGAATTCCTGTGAACGTTATGTCCATTTTCTTCGAAAAAATGGCAAAATTCCGACCATTCATCGAACTGGTCGCCCACAAAAATTATCTCCTAAACAACGTCGCCAGATTGGAATGATCATTAAACAACCATTTCACGACATCTAAGGAATTGAAGACTATGCTGGAAACAAAACACTCAGAGTTAGATGTCAGTGAACGCACTATTCGCCGTAACCTTAATAAACTTGGGTATACTTCAGTTCTTCCGCGAAGAGTGCCCGTTTTAACCCAGCAAGCGAGACTACGATCCAGATGTTTTGCAATACAATCCATGCATGGTCACGCGGAAAAAAACCAGTTCAGCCTATGGTTAAGCATCCATTTAAAGCTCACGTTTGGGCTGCGATCAACATTAGAGGAAGAATCGGGATACACATATTTACAGAAAACTTAGATCGTCACTTATATCGGGAAATCCTCAACAATCATTTGTATAATAATGCTAATAACTTGCTGGGTCACAAGTGGGTTTTTCAACAGGACAATGACCCAAAACATACATCCCGTGATGTTCGAGGTGACTTGGAATCTCGTCTTCCACGACGTGTTCTTTCTTGGCCTTCTTACAGTCCAGATCTTAATCCGATTGAGAATGTCTGGGCTGTTTTGAAGCGTAATGTTGAAAAACGCATTAAAAAAATGGTGGCAGAAAAAAAGAAAATTTCTCAACCCGTCTTTTTAAATTTAATTAAGGAGGTATGGGATGGTCTTGAAAAAGATGTTATAGTTAACAACATTAGTAGTATGAAAAAACGAAAATAATATTACAAGTGAAGTCTATGAAAACATTCTTGAAAAACAGTTACTTCCTTTCATTGAGAGTTTAGATGCCTCAAAACTATTTATATTACTATGGGTTTTTCAAGATGATAATGCTAGACCATATTGAACAGCAACTGTAGTAGTAGAGCAGTTTAAAGAGGATAAATAATAATGATATATTATCTCTTCCTTGGCCTCCACAAAGTCCTGACTTCAACCCTATATACGTAGGGTGTCTGAAAAGTTTTGACAATATATTTATTTTTCGAAAATGTACATAATAACTTTAAAATAAATTATCACA